AAACGTCGCGTTTGCTCGCCAAACTATTGCATTCCCTGAGAAACGTCGCGTTTGCTCGCCAAACTATTGCATTCCCTGAGAAACGTCGCGTTTGCTCGCCAAACTATTGCATTCCCTGAGAAACGTCGCGTTTGCTCGCCAAACTATTGCATTCCCTGAGAAACGTCGCGTTTGCTCGCCAAACTATTGCATTCCCTGAGAAACGTCGCGTTTGCTCGCCAAACTATTGCATTCCCTGAGAAACGTCGCGTTTGCTCGCCAAACTATTGCATTCCCTGAGAAACGTCGCGTTTGCTCGCCAAACTATTGCATTCCCTGAGAAACGTCGCGTTTGCTCGCCAAACTATTGCATTCCCTGAGAAACGTCGCGTTTGCTCGCCAAACTATTGCATTCCCTGAGAAACGTCGCGTTTGCTCGCCAAACTATTGCATTCCCTGAGAAACGTCGCGTTTGCTCGCCAAACTATTGCATTCCCTGAGAAACGTCGCGTTTGCTCGCCAAACTATTGCATTCCCTGAGAAACGTCGCGTTTGCTCGCCAAACTATTGCATTCCCTGAGAAACGTCGCGTTTGCTCGCCAAACTATTGCATTCCCTGAGAAACGTCGCGTTTGCTCGCCAAACTATTGCATTCCCTGAGAAACGTCGCGTTTGCTCGCCAAACTATTGCATTCCCTGAGAAACGTCGCGTTTGCTCGCCAAACTATTGCATTCCCTGAGAAACGTCGCGTTTGCTCGCCAAACTATTGCATTCCCTGAGAAACGTCGCGTTTGCTCGCCAAACTATTGCATTCCCTGAGAAACGTCGCGTTTGCTCGCCAAACTATTGCATTCCCTGAGAAACGTCGCGTTTGCTCGCCAAACTATTGCATTCCCTGAGAAACGTCGCGTTTGCTCGCCAAACTATTGCATTCCCTGAGAAACGTCGCGTTTGCTCGCCAAACTATTGCATTCCCTGAGAAACGTCGCGTTTGCTCGCCAAACTATTGCATTCCCTGAGAAACGTCGCGTTTGCTCGCCAAACTATTGCATTCCCTGAGAAACGTCGCGTTTGCTCGCCAAACTATTGCATTCCCTGAGAAACGTCGCGTTTGCTCGCCAAACTATTGCATTCCCTGAGAAACGTCGCGTTTGCTCGCCAAACTATTGCATTCCCTGAGAAACGTCGCGTTTGCTCGCCAAACTATTGCATTCCCTGAGAAACGTCGCGTTTGCTCGCCAAACTATTGCATTCCCTGAGAAACGTCGCGTTTGCTCGCCAAACTATTGCATTCCCTGAGAAACGTCGCGTTTGCTCGCCAAACTATTGCATTCCCTGAGAAACGTCGCGTTTGCTCGCCAAACTATTGCATTCCCTGAGAAACGTCGCGTTTGCTCGCCAAACTATTGCATTCCCTGAGAAACGTCGCGTTTGCTCGCCAAACTATTGCATTCCCTGAGAAACGTCGCGTTTGCTCGCCAAACTATTGCATTCCCTGAGAAACGTCGCGTTTGCTCGCCAAACTATTGCATTCCCTGAGAAACGTCGCGTTTGCTCGCCAAACTATTGCATTCCCTGAGAAACGTCGCGTTTGCTCGCAAAGCTATTGCATTCCCCGAAAAACTGTTGCGTTCCCCTAGAAACGTTGCGTTTGCTCACAAAGCTGTTGCATTCCCAAAGAAAGAAATTTTGTGCTCTCTTGTAAAAATGATGCGTTCCCCAGGGAAAATTTGCAGTTTCTCACAAAACTATTATGTTCCCTGAGATACTTTCTCTCGCCAGACTTTTGCATTCCCCTTAGAAACTTTAGCCGCTTTTACACTATCGGTTCTAAGAACTGTCAGGTACGGTTCCAGTTGTATTTCCACGTGAGCCTGGTATGGCACGGCACGATTACAAACCGTTCTCTGCCCGGAATTCTCGGCATGGTTAGACAACCATGCTGAGCCGTGTTGGTAGAGTGCGTGTGTGTGACGTCGCCACTCTGTTGCCTGGCTACCAGTTTCTCCATAGCTGGCTAAGCGGAAGCGTGCTGTTTGATCAAACAGCCAAGTAAACAGCTACGCTATGTTCAATATAAAAAAGAAAGTTTGGTCTGTGGAGGAAACATTTGTGCTTCTTGATATTCTGTTTATTTTATTTTTCGCGTCAAGAGTTGTGTCCTTTTTTCTGTCATTTAACAAAGTAAATATCAGATAAAAAAAAGGAGTCCCAAAAACAGAAATATCTGATCATCGTCCATATCGCTGTTTACATTAAACTTGCATTACCAAGGCAACGACTGACGCATTTGTATTACATTCCAAAGAGTTCTGTTATCAGCACCACCGTGGAAAATAAAACGGTTGAATGAAACGGTTAAGCAAAGAGAACCATTCGGCCCGATAGTGGAAAGGCGGCTTTTGGGTTCTCTCGCAAAACTATTGCATTTCCCTGAGAAACCGCGTTCTCTCGCAAAACCGTTGTTCCTCCAAAAACCTTTGCGTTCTCTCGCAAAAATGTTGCATTCTCTTAGAAAACTGTTGTTTTCTCCTATTAATTCATTTTTTACCATCATCATGACTCTTTAGGGGCTCTGTAAATTTGGAATTGTATAGATATATTTATATATCATTTATTAATTTTATACAACCAAAAAAAGTGTTTTATTGTTTTTTTTACAGTATACAAAAACTATAAAGTTGACATTTAGATGTTTAACTAAATGTCAGCATTAGGAGAACAGTTATACTGTAGTTATAATGTAGGACGGCTTACAGTATGCGTGTATTTGCAGTAATCCTATTTAGATGACTTTACTCGGTCCGTGTCTTCAGCGCTACTGGAAAGCATTTGATGTGGGAATTTGAAAAGATTGTTCAATACACATCTACTGATGTCAGCTTTACTCTCTTCAGTGCTTAGCCAGGAGGGACAGAGACTGGAAAACAACCTGTCCTGGTTTAGACCCCGCACACACACACACACACACACACCCCTCCTCTTCTCTCCCACCCAGTGTCCAGAGCTCAGGCAACAAACCCCTTCTTGTTCAAAAGGCACATTGCTTGCATTTCACACATCAGTGGATCTTATGCTCCAAAAAAGCTGTCAAAATCAGGGCTTTGTTATCCCTGGCGTTTCCCATTTCAACCTTTAATGGCTGCGGTGGGCTTCAATGCACCCCCGCTGTCCCCGGCACAGTGGCAGGAACAAGCTGCAGAGATTTTCCCTGCACAAGTTGATGTATCAAACGCCTTTCATGTCTCGCGCTTCACAAAGACGGCTGTTCTCTCTGCGCTTTGTGTAATCACTCTTTAGTCCTCCCCTTCCTCTCACCGTTCGTTTGGCCCGTCTGCCAGAGTCCTAGAAGAAGAATACGTCTCCCAGCTCAAGCCGACCGGAAAGGGCCGTGAGGAAAGGCCACGTAAGAGTGACACGGTTATTGTGGATGTTAGACTTTTGACTCCTGCACCTGTGGAAGATGGGAACAAATTAGGTTGTAAATGTGAGATTTGGCTCAGGCCTGTGTTTGGGAGGTAAATTACACTTTGGAGGCCGGTAAAAATGACTTATAATACAGCCTGAAATTGTTAACAGGTCAAATGTGTTTGTATCTGTGCTGGTACCAAATTTTTTTTGTCATATTAACATACAATTATTAAAATAAATACAATTAACAAAAAAACACAATTAATAACAAAAATAATATAAAATGATATATTTTTCTTTTTAATTTAATATATATATATGTATTAGTGCTGTCAAACGATTAATCACATCCAAAATAAAAGTTTTTGTTTACATAATATGTGTGTGTACTGTGTATACTTATTATGTATATATTTAAGAAAAAATAATATTGTTGTTTATATATTAAATATATTTATTTATAATATAAATTATATGACTATAAATATACATGTAAATAAATGTAAATATTTTCAAAATATATACTGCGTGTGTGTATTTATATATACATAATAAATATACACACAGTACTCGCACATATGTAAACAAAAACTTTTATTTTGGATGCGATTAATCATTTGACAGCACTAATATATATATATATATATATATATATTAAATAGAGAGATATCGTTTTTTTATTATTTTTAACAAATTTGAGTAATAAACATCAAATTTAAATATAAACATTTACTATGTGTATGTTTAACAATATAACAAATGACATAAAATAAATGTACTTTATATATACAAATGTTTAGATGCATGTATAATTTCACAAAAAAAGATCAAATTTAAACAAACATATACTGCGTCTATGTTTAACAATCTAAAAAATTACATAAAAATGAAAGATTACACTATTTTAAGGTGTCCTTGTTACAGTGTAAATATACATTTAAGTACTGAGTAATATTTAGTAACGACATGTACTTACTATATGGTTAGGGTTAGGATTAGGGTTTGGCTAAGGGTTATTTGTACGTTATTATGCATAATTAATTGTTGTTATTATAATAGTAAGTACGTGTGACAAGGACACCTTAAAATAAAGTCTTACTAAATGAAATAAATGTATATATGCAAATATTTGCGATACATGTATAATGTAACAAAAAATATATAATTAAAATGTAAATATAAACATTAAATTTTCATTAAATGTTCAACAATATATTAAAATTTCCATATATATATATATATATATATTCCTACATATATAATTTTGTAACAATTATTGGGAATAATGGGTATTACAGACAAACCCATCTGGATTAGCACCTGTAATAATATGCAGAATAGAAACGTTGGTGGGGAAGAAAGCATTGCATTCTGGGGAAAACACAACTCACTGCCGCCAGTCTCTGTTCCTTACCCTCATCCAGAAACGGCGAGTAGAACACAACGGCAGCATATGCAAACAAATTGCCATCACATTTCTATGGGGCCGAAAAAGCATGGAATGCAACCATACAAAAGCGATTAAGTCATTACTCTGATTATTGGAAATGATTGCATTATTCATGCGCGTGTAAACGTCAACTTACTCCTTTCTCTCATCCACTTCCAGGACGGGAGGCTGAGAACAGGTGACCACATCCTGCGTATCGGTGAGACGTCTACTCGAGGTCTGGCCAGTGACCAGGTGGTGCAGGTGCTGCAGGCCTGCGGTACCCAGGTGAGGATGCTGATCGCACGAGACCCTCTGGGGGCGCCCCAGCCTCCGCCTCCACCTCCACCTGCCCCCGCCACGGCCCCCGTCACCTCTCTGCCACCTCCACCTCCTGTGCCATCCCGCAGGGGCAGCAAAACGGTACAGAATACACCACCTTTACAATGAATCAGTGAATGAATGATGCAATATTATCTTAAAAAAATAAACATCTACTTAATATTTGATTCCAAAATCACAAGAAATAAATAATAAATTATTTAGTTTTTATTTACAATAATATTTAAATGTTTTTAAATATCAATAAATATAATAATTAATAAATATATAATAATAACGTAATATAATATTACAATAATATAATATATGTTACAACAGATACAACTTTAGATTTTACAGAGCCCCTAAAGGGGCATGGTGGTGGAAATAATTCTGGGTGGGAGGAAAAAATCTTTTATTTAATTTTTTTTTTTTTTTGATTCCCTCTCAAAACTTTTTTTTTCGGAATTCAAA